GATGGCCAGTAGGACCTTGTACAGAACCCTCTAGTGGTAGGATGCATCATGACATCAAATGATTAAACCGTCAGGACAAATGTCCTTAATTGGACAGAGCATGGATAATAGACATGAATAAATTTCTATTGGTATTTGGACACACTCATATTGTTGTGCACCAAATGGCAGCAGGGATAAGTGACATCATATCTGCTGGAAGCCTGCAGTCTAATGGACATCAGTGGTATCTTTTTCCACTATATATGTGACGTCGACATAGCATATCTCAGAACCTGCGGCTCAAAATGACCCGAGGAAACAGTATTGACCACCAAAATTCCTATGTGGTCTCTGCTGGACTCAGGGATCCTGGATATTAACAATCTCCTCGGAAGCGTCATCTACTGTGCTTTTTAACGGGCTTCTGGAGGAAGCATGGATGATTGACGTCACCATCATTTCTTCAGTCACTTTGGATTACTGTTTCTAATATGGATCCCAGTAGCAGCTGAGATCCCTGACAACAAGATTGTCAATGGCAGCATGGATCTTGGGCAATAGTACGGGTCTGTTGCCAGGTTTACAACACTGTAAGGATAGACTCAGAGGGCAGAAGCTTTTATGGTCATAGACCTCTTCTGTAGTGGCAGCACATATTTTGACATCTCTATCTCTTTTGGAGGTGTAAGGATCTTATATGTTACATGGTTGACTGTGGGCACTACATGCAAAAATCAAGGACATCAACAGAATTTCCTGTGGAAGGTTTGATCTCAGACATCAATTGGATTTCAAGTGATACCTCAGAACACTTACCTCAGTAGAAGCTTGGGCATCAGTATGGGCTGTCAAATTCCCCAGACTCTCAAGCAGCAACACAGATCACAGCCGTACATAGGCTCTCCATCAGCAGGAGGAATCATAGACACCATCATGATTGCTATTCATATCATACAACTCTGACGTCTACATAGCTTCAGGTTTCAGGTAGTATCATAGACATCAAAATACATTGCATGTTCAACAACCCAGACTACATGCATGCATCAGGAAACATCAACAGAATTTCCTGTGATGGGTATTATCTCAGACATCAATCTGATCTCCAGGGCCAGCTAAGGGCATTTACCTCAGTATGAATTCAGTCCTCAGTAAGGACCTTAGAATTCATCCGATTCTCAAACACAGATCATAGCTATCACCAGGGTCTCCATCACCGATAGAAATGATGGACTCCATCATGACTGCTGATCACGGAATGCATCACTGACATCAGCATAGCTTCTTGTTACAGGTAAGACCACAGGCATCAAAATACATTGCATGATTGACATCAGGGGCTACATGCATGCATCAGGAACATCAACTGAATTTCCTGTGAAGGGTAAGATCTCAACTATCAATCTGCTCTCCAGAGCCAGCTCAGAATACTTACCTCAAAATGACCTTGGGTATCCGTATGAACCTTGGACTTCAGCAGGTTCTCCTGAAGCAATATGGATCATAGCCATCACCAGGGTCTCCATCAGCAACATTAACAATGGACTCCATCTTGTTGCTGGTCACCGCATGCAGCACTGACCTCAACATAGCTTTCTGGTTGCAGATGGGATCACTGGGCATCAAATGGTGTCTTCAGTAGCATTGCACAGCACTTACCTCATTATGCCTGTAGGTGGCGATACTGATAATGATCGTCACGAGAGACTCTTCTGGCCTTGGGATCTCAGACATCAGGGAACTCTTCCAAGACAAAACTGACTATGGATCTCAATACGGTTACCAGGGGCATCATTTATAAGTAATGTCAATATGTTTTCCTTGAGTCTTGTTATTTCTGATGTTATCAACTGATCCAAAGTGGCAGGAGGAATCACTCATGGCCTCGGTGCCTGTGGCAGCAGGGATCTGGGATATATTATGGTGTCTGTTGCCAGGAATGTCAGGGACATCAATATAGTTTCACATAGCAAGTATGAATATGGACAGAAGTCACTTGTATAGTAACAGGATGCCACATGACATCAAAATGGTCACATCTGGCCAAAATTGTTACACTTCTCATGAATTGGGCAGAATCATGGATAACTGACATCGGTAATGATTTTCCTGGCAGTTGGAGACACTCCTATGAATGTGGTTCCATAAGGCTGCAGGGTTATGAGTGTCATGGGCGTACACTCTTGCCTGTTGCCAGTATATATGTGACCTCAACAAAACATATCTCTGGATGTGGAACTCAACATGACCTGAGGTAGCGGTATGGACTGTGGACGTCACTGTAGATTCTGCTGGCTTCAGGGATTCTTGACGTTAGCAATATTTTCAGAAGCAACAAGGACTGTGGGTTCAATGTGGCCACTGATGGCACATTGTTTCATAGTTTCTGTGGAGACACTTTGGAGAGTCAGGTTCTAAGGAGGGAGAGAAATGAATATAGAAGAAGGAGGGAAGAGGGTAAGATAAACTAAAGATATCTACAAAAGTCATAAGAAATCACAGTACTAAGTAGCTACATAAATACCTGTACTCCATAGAAGTTGTAAGTAAATGAACATACAGTTTTATTTTCTCCCTTCTATTCCTTCTCTATGTCTGCAGCAGTAACTATCCCCTTCATACTTTATGTGTTCTTCCTCTTTATGAGTTCATTAAGCTCATGGTATTAGTTGCTTTACAGTTGCTATGACAAAATCCCTTGATCAAGGCACCGTACAGAGGGAACAGTTTTTTGGCCATACGCTTTCAGATGGAAAAGGCTCGGTGATGGTCAGGTTGTATGGCAACAAGTGTCAGGAACAGGAGAATGAGAAGAAATCTGTGAGCTCTCTTCTTTCACAAGCACCAAGAAAGGCCCTAAATGGGAAGTCCAGAAAGGCTGTGTATTCTCAAAACCTGCCTCCAGTAATATGTCCTCTGGTGTTACCCTAAACTCCTGCACCTTCCCCAAAACCTGCACCAACGGAGGAAAAAGTGCTCAAAGTCATGAGCCCATAGGAGACATTTCTCATTCAACCCTTCATATTCAGTTTCTGCTGTCATTGGGCGCATGGTCCATATCTCTAAGATATATAACTTTCCGTCTCCCAGTCGTGACCAAAAGGAAGTGGTTAGAGTTCCTTAGCCAGCAGTGGGATTTTCTAAAGATCTCACCCCTCTATGCTAAGATTTGTCTGGCTTGGTCTTGTACTGGTCTTGTACATATAGTTATAGTCACTGTCATTTCACATGTAGAAATGCCTTATTGTGTCAGGAAAACAGACTTTCTCTATAGTCATTCACTACCTGTGGTTCTTACAGTCTTTCAACTATCTCCTCCATGGTGACCTCTGAACCTGGAGAGAAGGGGCTACTGTTGTGATTTAAGTAAGAAATGCTTCCCATAATCTTTAGAATTTGAACACGTGGTCCCACATGGTTAGTGTTGTTTTCAGGGCTGGGAGAGGAGTTAAGAAGAAGTATATCATCCCAGGCAGAAACTTGGGGCAATTCTCATCTCACTACCACCATTTCATTCTCTCTGTTTCTTGCTTTCAGTTCAAGATGTGACACTTAGTATCCTGATCTAACCTGTGCAAGCAAATGGACCTGAGAAGCAACGTGGTTTATCCATTCTAATATCCAACGAAAGAGCAAACCAAAATTAATTGATGGAGACACAAAAAGTCAATTCATATTCATCAAAGAAAAGATTCACCAAGGTGATCTTTCGATTCTCAGCATCTATGCCCCAAATGCAAGGGCACTGACATGTGTAAAGGAAATGGATAGTACTAAAGCTTCAATTATATAGAGATTTTTACCAGACTGTTAAAGCAGTTATAATGCCAATATTACTGAAATCAATTCACAAAAGAGAAACAGGGTATTTCCAAATGCATTTTATGAAGCCACAGTTACCTTGACACCTAAGCCACAAAAAGATTCAACAAAGAAAGAGTATTACAGACCAATTTCTCTCATGAACATAAATGCAAAAATAATCATAGTAAAAGACTCCCAAACCAAAAAAAAAAAAATCAACA